ATGAATGCTTGATGATCATGCTCATGTTATGCAAGTAAAGTTATGCAAGGCTAACACCCGAGGTGTTACAGCGTCGAGCTTCTGCGGCGGCGCGGGAGGCCAGCAGGATCACGGGGATGGCGCGCGGCAGGCCGGTGTGGACGCACGAGGCCGGGAGAGGGCATCGGGCGCCGGCCAACAAGGGGTGCCGGCCGCCGGGCGCGCGCAGGGCCGAGAGGGGACGGGTGTGGGCGGGCGGCGCTAGGGGCTGCTGTGGGCGGGCGCGGGACCAGCGGCGTCGGTGGGTGTGGTGGGTGGGCGGGCATGAGACCAGTGATCTTAGGGGCTGGTGTGGTGGGGTGGGCGGGGGCCGGCCGGCGGGTGTGGTGGTGGCGGCATGGTGTGTGTTTGTTTGTCTGCGTGTGTGTGTGCGGCCGGGTGGGGATTGGGGTGGTTACAAGGGAGGTTTGCCGAGTGCCCGCGATCTAGCACTCGACAAACCCCCGTTTTTTTCATTTTCAATAACTAAACTGCTCGGTGGGTCCGTGAAGGGGTTTGCCGAGTGTCCCAGGTCTGACACTCGGCAAAATTGAGATTTGCCGAGTGCCATAAATCGGGCACTCGGTAAAGTGATTTGATTTTTTCATATGCCTATTCATTATTTTATTTTATTATTTTTGTGTATATATATTTTTTTTCCTATGGTTACTGGACTGGATATTTAAAGCATCACAAATCCATCAAAATTTATATTACAAATGTTACAATAATGTATATGTCATTACAGTAAAAATGTATATACTACGATAGAAGTTTCGTCATCTTTGGATCTATACTACTCTTATCCTTGGCTTGATCAAAGCTGAAAGATACTCTTTTACTCAAGACATCGTCCATGGCGAAGGATGCTAGCTTGTCTTGTAGTTCTTTGATCTCAAAGTCTAATAGCTTTTGGGGTTTTAAGTTTCTCACGCTATCGTTGAAGCAAGATGACATCAACATGCACAAGTGTTAGATAAAACAGTAGTGTGTTTTATTGAATTAACCGATATACATAAAATGAGAAACATACATACCATTTTATTTCCTTCCATTGTGCTCTCCTTGAGGTACTAATGCATTGCCCACATCACGGAGAACCCGCATTTGTTGTTGGCTATTAACTGTTCTAGGGGTATGTGTTTCCATATAATGAGCCTTGAAATGGTTCTTCCTGTGCCCGTCTATATTTTTCTTGACTCAGCGTGACACTATAAAGTGTGAAAGACGGTGAAATTAGAATGTGCTATGTGATTAGAAAATTATATGTTACTAGCTTCACTTACAGAAACTGCACTCACAAACTTCCAACGCTAATCAGGCCTAGTTAACAAATAACCTTCAAAAAAAATAAGCACCTAGCTAGGCCCATATATGGGGCACTCGGCAAACTTATTATTTCATGCAATACCACATCTTAACATGTTGTATGTACCTACCAAATGGATCCAGAAATATATCAATTCTTAACATGGAGTACCACATGTTGTATGTGGAGAGTAGAAAAAGTTTCAAGGTCAGGAGTGAAAAAAAACTTATTATTTCATGTAGATGTAGCTCAAATTCAATGTATATCAATTAAAATTCTATAATTGCACTTAACAAATTAAAATTATCCAACGGATCCAAAAATTTACCAAAATTACACATGGATCAATCTATGTTCTCTATTGCCTATACAAAAAGTTCTGAAGTCAAACCCCAATTTGACCGTCACTTTGAATCCAAATCTTACCGGATCTTTCTCTACGCTACGATTCTTCTTCTGAGATACTTTGGATTGTAAACATCGTACATGACAGATTGTCCGAAACCTTCTCAATTTTTTACCACAACCTCCACGTATGATATCATGAGATTTTGATAAATCTCATGATTTTCAGACTTCGTTTGCTTTTTTTAGAATTTAAAAACCATTCGGCCACACGTTCGTGGTCGAGTTTCGTGAATAAGATGTTCAAAAATTCTTTTCATTTCCCGGGCAAGGCCTCAAAATGGACTCAATAACATGAATATCATTTTTCCACTCATTTTATTCCATTATTTGAATCACTTGCGGTTCAAATTTGACTTATACCAAAAAATTCCTCTAAACGCAATAAATTAATTAAATATATCAAACGGATTCAGAAATATACCAAATTTTAACATGTAGTAACACATGTTGTATGTGAATGGTAGAAAAAGTTTGGAGGGCAGGACAGAAAAATAAGTTTTGGATTTGCCGAGTGTTGGGGAAAAACACTCGGCAAACTTATCATTTTGCCGAGTACTGGCTAAAAACACTCGGCAAACTTATCATTTTGCCGAGTGCTACGGAAAAACACTCGGCAAAGTTGCACTTTTGCTAACGACCGTCACGCCGTTAGACGGCCGTCGCACCTTCTAGTCACGTGATAGGATTTTGCCGAGTGTTAATTTATTGCCGAGTGTCGTATTGTAGTTTGCCGAGTGTCTTATATTCTACACTCGGCAAATCTGGTTTTTTACCGAGTGTAATATGTATGCCGAGTGTCTTCTTAACTACACTCGGCAAATTAGGTCTTTGCCTCAGTACCGATGAATTGCACTCGGCAAATCAATAAACACTCGGCATATTTACTGTTTCCGGTAGTGTTTGTTCACATAGATTACCATGTAATTTGCAGTTTCCCAACCTCAACTCAGAGTCGCACACATGTTCTTTTATTCTTTTTCTTGTCAATGTTTCAGACACTTTAGCTATGAATCTAGACATATATTTGTTTAGATTTATAGCCATCAACTATTTTATGCATTGTGGGCGCGGCTTCTAGCCACGATGTGCCGCGACGGTTGCCCCGTGGTCTTTGTAGCCGCACCTACGATACTTGCGCCCGCACATGACACATGCATGTACATAGCGCTATAGCATAAACCAACCAAACAACTTAATCTATCTATAGTTAAGAGGTGGCAATGAATTTGGGTAATCCAAAATCCAATTGGACTCTGGTTGTGTTGGATGCACTTAGATGAGAGTATTTTGATTTTGGATGTCCATAATCATTTGATCCAACAAAAATCCAATATCCTAACATTCAAATTATAGCTCCAATAATGTCCATAATCATTTGTGAACCCTGATTAAAATCCTTTCAAGTTATAGCTCCAAATAATTGTACATCCTAACTTTCGTACTAGTACTAAAATTTGGAAATACTTTTGAAAGACATATGCTAATCTTTTTACTTTGAAAAAGGTGATGGTAAGTAATCAGCTACTACGTAGTACTCTCTGTGTTCCAAATTATAAGCCTAGTACCCTGTCTATTATTTCTAAATTATAACTTGTTTTATCTTTTCTAATACATACCAGAGAGTGATAACTATCATCCCTAAATATCTGTCGTCGGGGCTACAGTACATGTCCCGTAATAACTATCGTTCGCTATCAGCCCGTAGCTATACCGCTACTGCACCATGCGCCTGCCTTATCCCTTCCTCTCCCCTCACGGCCTCACACCACCACACGCACCCAACTTTTTCTAAAAAATAAAAAATCCCAGCCTCATCCCCAACCTCGCCGGCTGTTCCTTTGGCCCCATCCGCAACCTCGCGTCGCGCCCACCCTCCGTTGACTCCCCTCCGCCGAGATCCTCTTGTGCCACCCTCCGTCGACTTGTTCATCATTCTTAGCAGGATAGACACCAAAGTGGTCAGCTTCCCCAACTTGAACTGCAGCCACTACATCTTCCATGGGATCACGATCCTCTTCGTGTTCATGTTCAGCAGGATTCTTGTTGAGATCTGGCACCTCCTCTCCTCTCTCCTCTGGTAGTGTGTTTAAGTCTATTGCCATGGGAGTTGGATGAGAAGTGAATGGTTCAAATGAATGCAAAGAAAGGGTTACCGAGCTTTATTGCCAGTGGTGCTAGAGAAATGGCGCTAGTTTCAAATTATAGTTTGCTTAGTCTGTGTAAAAATGGCGCCAGGCTTTGTTTTGGCGCTAAGTAGTGTTTGCCACTGAGTAAAATGCATGTATTAGTGTCCTCTTTGATTTGTTTAAGGCAAAAACACTATACTGCATGGGCAACTGTGACAAAGTGGATGTGAGTAATGATTTGTTTAATGTAAAAATCTGTGTGTGTGTGGCACGCGCTCGTTTTCACAGCAAAAGACAACATTAATGACATATCCATCCAAAAGTCCAAAAGGTAAATCATTGCTATATGCAGGGGTGTTCAGGTCTTTTGTCATTTATAATGATTCCTAAAGTCTAGTTCTCCGATGACAGTTAATTGGGAATGAAAAGACAAGAAAAATGAAACGATTTTATAATTGAAGCGGAGAGAGTAATATATTGTTATTTTTACATGAAGTCCTTAGGTCTCACTCTCATGGAACCCTGTTTGTTTGTTTATCCATTGATTGATTTGGCCAATCTGTGCCCATGCAAGGAAAGCACTCCAGCAGGTCCTAGTACGTAGTGACTAGTGAGTAAAGTAAAGGAAAAACAAAATCTTATCAGGTGCTCTACGGGAGAGCGGAAGACCGGAGGAACCACATGGTTACACTGCATCTATCTTTTTCTTCGTTTGCTGCACCAGGAAACGCCCGGGCTTAATATTAGGGTATGAATTTTCCCTGTGTCGATCGATAGACTCGAGCACCATTGGCGTTTCCGTGCATCATTTTCCTGCCCATCTTTTTTTTTTTTTACTGAAATCCAGCAGGAAGGATCCAGTTTTCTTCAGACTGGCTATTCTCCGGTTCTTGAGAAGTTCAGACGATCGTCATCCCCATCTTCTGTCCATGCCAGGTGCGTCACGGTGTACGTCTGTGCACTGTGCTCTGTGGGTTTGCGTACAATTACAAACGGAGCAATTGGCTCAGGTACGGTTTCAGGTAGCAGCCGCCATTCAGTGATATACCTACCGCTGTATATAAGCCATAGCCGGCACGGCGAGGCCTCGCAGTCGCAGGCGCACACCAGTCGAGTCCAGCAAGGAAACTAAGAGCGCCATGGACTCGCAGTCTCGCTCCCATGAGCTGCTGCTGGTAGTCCCACTCTTTCTCCCTCTCCTCTACCTGCTGTCGTCCCGGCGGCGGAGGAGGAGCAGAAGCCAGGAGCAGCAGCAGAACGACGGCGTGCTCCCCGGGTCCGCATGAAGCAGCTGCCGGTGCTGGGCAACCTGCTCCAGATCGGCAGAGCCGCTGCTTCCAGGCGGTGGCGCGGAGGTACGGCCCCGTCGCGGAGGTGCAGCTCGGTCGCGTGCGCACAGTCGTCGTCGTCCGTCGCCGGACGCCGCCAAGGAGGTCCTCCGGACCAACGACCTGCACTGCTGCAGTCGCCCCAACTCACCAGGCAAGTACGAGCTCAGAACCACTTATCACTAGCCTAGGTGGAATAGGTTAGGATTTCAGTTCCTCTGCACTGTAGGCTCACCCATAGCTTCACTGTATAAGCTGTTCTTTTGGCCCTTTTTTTTTAATGAAATGTGAAGTCGTGTGAAGTGATTTGTTCATGAAAATTGAAAAAAAAAAGAAAGAATCGAACGATCGTCGTTATGATTTGGTTCTCACACCAAAAAGCCAAAAAAGTAAATAATAAATTGGGTGAAATTGGGTGAGAGCAACAATGAACACCCACAGTAGATTTGCGACACATGTCCATTTGCATGTATCCACACATGAGAGAAATATAGTTTTTTTTCTAATTAATTACTCCTAAATTTAAGCAACAGTTTCATAAGTTGAATGGACATGTGTCATAGATTCACACTAGATGGTCATGATTACGTCCTGATCGCTTGGGTTTGTTTGGTTTATAATCCGTACTTTTTCAGCCAATAAATAGTATTTTTCTCTCACCCTAAATCAGCTAATAATACTTTCAGTCATGATTTATCAGTCAAACAAGACCAAACGAATAGGGTGTACACCAATAGGACCGCCCCTCATTCAATTTTTTTTAGCAAAATTGGCCACCACCAGGGGAAAATTATGCACGTAGACATGCATGCATGGGAAGAGTCCAATATTGGTTCCTGGTGGGATCAAAAGGGCACATGCACATGTCTGCGGCCACGCTGTTTTTGGCAAAGCAAAATACATGTGTGGGAGATCGTGGGACCACGCAATGGAAAAAAAGAGTATACTCAATAGAGAAACTATTGTACATGTTTGGAGTGTACTCGATAGAGAAACTAGTGTACCTATTTGATATAGGTGCTTGTCTTATAATCCATATTTTTCAGCTTATTTTTTAGTCAGAACAATATTTTTCTCTCACAACAAATATGCCGGAATAGTGTTTCGGCTTGTTTTTTCAAATAAGTTTAACGGGTTTTATAAAATCTTGCTACCTAAAATTAGCTAAAATTAGCTCTAATGTATCCAAATATTAGAGCTAATATATAGGTGTGTCAAGTCTTTAACTATTTGTTAGATCACTAGCTTACCAACCATAACTAATTTGAGCTAAATTTTAGCTCTAGCTAATAACTAGCCACGTGTATCAAACAGACCCATTCGAGATTTAGATAGAATGGGATAATCATATTATAATTTTTAATAATCGGATTACCCATCTCGTATTTTTAATAACCGGTGGTGAGTGGGGAAAAGGCAGTTGGATGAGCCAAGTGTGGGGAGCTTAACAGAAGATGAAAAAGACATCGGGGACGAGTAACATCTGATTCATTTTTAAACCTAAGCCATGGTGGACAGCGATAGATCCAGCAGCGGGGAGCCACTAGAGCCCGCTGGGGACGTGAAGGCGGTAGGAGAGCCATCGGAGCTAACTAGTTCATATTTGATCAAGTTTGTAATGAAATAGTATATGTTTGTGGCTTCAAATTAATTTATTATAAAAATACATTTCGTAATTAATCTAATGTTATTATTTGCAATCATAAATATTGATACAATATTTTTTTATCTATAGTTGATCAAACTTATAAGATATTAAAATATGACATTGTATTAGGATTGTATTCGTTCTGACATGGACAGAGTAAGGGCCTATTAGAATTAGCACTAAAAATTAGCAGCTAAAATTAGTACTAGTGGATCCAAACGGATCTATTAATAAACATGCTAATTATTAGTCGTTGCTAACTATTATTTCATTAGCAAGTTTGGAGTCGTTAATAGATGTTAATAGTTTATATACACCTTCAACTCACACTCCAACCATCTATTAGCAGTGGATCCAAATAGTCTCCGGCTAAAGGTGAGATAGATAAAAATTAACAGCTATTAGCTATTAGTTAATTAATTTTTAGTGCTAGTGGATCAAGCATGCTCTAATTTAGACTATATATGTACTAACTCCATTACGAGTAACGTATAATCCAAATCATCATCACTGGCTGCATATTGTCCGATGTTCATCAGGTCCCAGGATGCTGAGCTACGACTTCCTGGACGTGGCCTTCAGCCCCTACAGCGACTACTGGCGCGAGATGCGGAAGCTCTTCATCCTGGAGCTCCTCAGCATGCGGCGCGTCCAGTCCTTCGCCTACGCCCGGGCCGCCGAGGTGGACCGCCTCGTCGCCTCCCTCGCCAGCTCCTCCCCTCCGGGCGCCGCCGTCGACCTCAGCGAGAAGCTGTACGCGCTCTCCGACGGCGTCGTCGGCACGGTGGCGTTCGGCAAGATGTACGGGTCGGCGCAGTTCGAGAGGAGCAGCTTCCAGCGCGTGATGGACGAGACGCTGCGGGTGCTGGGGAGCTTCACGTTCGAGGACTTCTTCCCGGCGTCCAGGCTCGCCCGGCTCGCCGACGTCCTCACCGGAGCCGCCCCCCGGAGGCGGCGCATCTTCCTCCAGATCGATCGTTTCTTCGACTCCGTCATCGATAAGCACCTCGAGCCCGAGAGGCTGCAGGCCGGCGTGCAGGAGGACATGGTCGACGCGCTCGTCAAGATGTGGAGGGAGGAGCAGGCAGATTGTGAGGCAAAAAATGGATTAACGCGTGATCATATCAAGGGAATCCTCATGGTACTTTCATTATACTATCATTATCATTTAATGATCATTATGCATGTTATGCAGTAGTATATATAGTACTATTACAGAAACATTGACTACACATAGTTTCGTGTAAACCTCAGGACACATTTTCAGGTGGCATCGACACCAGTGCTGTCACGATGATCTGGATCATGGCCGAGCTGATGAGGAACCCTAGGGTCATGCGGAAAGCGCAAGCCGAGGTGCGCGGTTTGGTGGGGAACAAACCAAGAGTGGACGAAGAAGATGTCAAGAACCTCAGCTACCTCAAGATGGTGGTGAAAGAGAACTTCAGGATACACCCACCGGGGACGCTGTTGATTCCAAGGGAGACCATGACGAGCTGCGTCATCGGCGGCTACGACGTGCTGCCGGGCACAAGGATTTTCGTGAATGTTTGGGCAATGGGAAGAGATCCTTGCATCTGGGATCGCCCGGAGGAGTTCAATCCCGAGAGGTTCGAGGGAAGCCAGGTTGACTTTAGAGGCTCCAACTTTGAGCTTCTCCCGTTCGGTTCAGGACGAAGGTCATGCCCTGCCATCGCCATGGGCGTCGCTAATGTGGAGCTTGCCCTGGCCAACCTGTTACATTGCTTTGATTGGCAACTACCTGAAGGGATGAAGGAGGAGGACATCGATATGGAAGAAACTGGGCAGCTTGCTTTTAGGAAGATGGTGCCTCTTTGTCTTGTGCCTATTAAGAGAGTATAACTGCATTGGAGGATGACAGACTACGCATATTATTCTCTTAATATATTCAGTTCCAATAAACTACTTTAAATATTTTGTTTTGAGAATGTTACAATCCTGCACTTTTTCTTTCTTCCATAGCGTAAACGCGCACAATAAATTAAATGCGTGCTCTTCAAAGGAATTCAGAAGTGGGGTACTATAAGTTAGCATTGCAAGCAATTTGGATGTATCATATTTGGAATATGGAGTATGAAGTGTGATTGCAGGTCCTTATTTCAACATTAATGCATTATTTTGGCTAATATATGGTACAAAAGGGTTCTCAGCATATAGTAAGCATTTTTTTTTTGTACTAGTGCTATTTTTTGTACTAAGCCCGCCTCCATTAAGTTTTCGGTACTAGTGCTATTTTTTTTTTTTTTGCAATGCTCTATAACTTGAAGGGGGATCTCAAAAGTGAAAAAACCAAGCCCTAAAGGAGCCTGAACTCCTCTTCAATGTCATTGCTTGTCTTGTTTTTTAGGGGGACAAAGCTACTGATTGAAGAGAGTAAGTTGAGGGAATTTGGAGCCTCCCTAACTTTATTGGCTCTCACCTCATGTATCTTTCATCTTCATATTAGATTGCTTACGGATCATCATCGCCTATAGTTTTTTCTCGCAAGGGCTCTCCGATCCATGTAAATTTTGGTGTCTACCCATGATTTGGTTGCCGAGTAAATGTACCTTAGCTGAGGAACCATGTTAGTGTTTGCCGAGTGTTTTTATGTTTGCCGAGTGTATTCTCTCGGGCACTCAGCAAACAAGTTCTTTGCCGAGTGCTGCGCTAAAAACACTCGGCAAAAAAAAACACTCGGTAAAGAGGAGGTTTGCCGAGTGTCAAAAAAAAACTTTTCTAGGAAAGAAGGAGAAGAAAAAAAATGAAAAAAAAACTTTGCCAAGTGCCCAGATCCAGGACACTCGGCAAAGAAATAAATTTTTTTTTCTGGAAAACAAGGAGAAGAAAAAAAATGATTTTTTTTTGCCGAGTGTCCAGATCTGGGACACTCGGCAAACGAAAAAAATCTTTTTTAACCCCCAGCGGACGCGCCCAGCGCCCTACCCTTCTCCCCGCACGACCCCCTCCCCTTCTCCGCGCACGCGCGCGCGCCCCCCTTCCCTGTACCAACGAGAAACAAGGGAGTTGGACACATAATTGTGACTACTTGAGAAAAAGTTTATTGAGAACTTACAGCATGTACGGCTCCACTTCGGATAGGTTGGTCACCACATATAGCATAATAGTGCGCCACTCTTCATGTTTAAAAGTCTTGTTAGTCGCACCACTTGCTTTTCCTAGTTGCCCTCGGAAAATGCTAAGGTTCGATTCATCTTCGCCAGCATTGTAACGAGGAAGTGGATTATGCACGCTAGGAAGGTTGTCAGCATAGTATTTTGTTGTGAAGTTTGACACCTCCTTCAGAATATATGCCTCTGCCATGGATGCTTCAATTTTGCATTTATTTGTACATTTAGTTCGAAGAACATTTTGAAATGTCTCAATTGAATAGCACCAACGGCCCCAAGACAGGCCCCCTAGCGGACGCGCCCCCGCCTCTACCCTTCTCTCTGCATGGCCCCTCACCTTCTCCCCCTTTGGCGTCCGCGACGCCCTCCCCTTCTCCAAGACGCGACACGCCGCCCCCCACCAGACGCGGGCACGTGCCGCCCCCTCCTCCCTCTCGGCGCCGGCACGGCCCCGCCCTTCCCTCCTCCCTCTCCGGCGTCGACGTGGCCTGCCCTCCCCTCCTCCCTCGCCGGGCGGCGGCCCGCCTCCCCCTCCTCCCTCGTGGGAGCGGCCCGCCTCCCCTCCTCCCCGCTGGGGGAGCCGCCCGCCCCCTCCTCCCTCGCTGGGAGCAGCCCGCCCTCCCTCCTCCCTCTTGGCTGAGCAGCCGCCCCCCTCCTCCCCGCTGAGGCAGCCCGCCCTCCCCTCCCTCCCCGCTGGAGTAGCCGCCCTCCCTCACTAGATCCGGTGCCTCCTGAGCCCAGCCCTCCTCCCTCTCACTAGATCCGGTGTGACCTCCTCCCTCCCAGCCCTCCCTCTCCCAGATCCGACTACGCCGCCCCCCTCCCGGCCCTCCCTCTCCAGATCCGGCAGTGACGGGCGTGGTTGTGGTGGCGGAGGGAGGAGCGGCGGATCCGGTGGCGTGCTTGTCGGCGTTCGCAGCTCCACGAGGAAGGAGCGGGCGACGCGCGACGCAGGCGAGGACAGGCTTGGGCGAGGCTCGTCGAGGTGAATGGCACGGTGTGGAGGCTCGACACAGCGGCTTCCTGGTGACGACGAGCAGAGGTGCGGCGTGGTGGGGCCCTCCCTTCTTCCCTGGCGTTGTGGCGGTGGCGTGGATGGTGGTGGTGCGGCGTGGTGGGGCCCTCCCTTCTTCCCCGGCGTGGTGGCGGCGGCGTGGATGGTGGTGGCGGCACGGCGGCGGTGCTGGTGGTGCGGCCATGGTGTCGGCGTGCCTTTTTTATTTTTTTTGAAAAAAAAAGTTTGCCGAGTGTTTTTTTTGCACTCGGCAACTTCTTTGCCGAGTGTCCGACAGAAAACACTCGGCAAACTAGCGTTTGCCGATAACCAGTTTACCGAGTGTCGTTTGCCGAGTGTAACACTCGGCAAACCGTTTGCTGAATGTTTTTGTGGCTTCGCTGAGTGCCCTGGCACTCGTTAAAGCTCCTGAATCCGGTAGTGGCTCTGATGCCTCCGGAAGGAGTTGTAGCAACCTTAAGTGACACATCACTTGATAGACCCGTGTAACCCACTCGGCCGAGTCATGGAAACGACTTGAACTTAGTAATTCGAAAGTATCCCTCGTTATTCTGGAATCTGACTTATAGAGGATAAAATCCCACCAATCTCTTCAGATTAGAGCTAACCGAACAAGCCCAAATGGGGGAAAGCAATGTACAACCACACACACATCCAAGCAAGCACAATGCTTATATATAGAAGGCAAAAGACAAATAGAAACGGGGATTACCACTAAACAAACGACAAGCAACCATGCTGCCAATACTATACTCACTACCGGAAACGTTGTCGAGTGTTTTATGTTTGCCGAGTGTATTCTCTCGGGCACTCACAAACAAGCTATTTGCCGAGTGTTGCGCTAAAACACTCGCAAAAAAAAACACTCGGCAAAGATGAGGTTTGAGTGTAAAAAAAACACTTCGGCAAAGAGGGGTTTCTTTGAGTGTTTTTTTGCACACTCGAAAAGAAATAAAATTTTTTTGGGAAAAAAGGAGAAGAAAAAAAAAAAAAAAACTTTGTTGAGTGGCCAGATCTAGGACACTCGGCAAAGAAATAAAAAATTTTTTCTAGAAAAAAAAGGAGAAGAAAAAAATGAAAAAAAACTTTGTCGAGTGCCCAAATCTAGGACACTTTGCAAAGGAAAAAAAACTACTTACTGTGTAAAAAAGAGCCAGAAAAAAATTAAAAACAAGCTTTGCCGAGTGCCTCCCATTCGCCACTCGGCAAAGCAAAACTCCAAAATATAACGCCCCCACCCCCCTCTTCTCCCCACACGCGCCCTCCCTTCTCCCACGCCTTGGCCAGACGCCCTCCCTTCTCCAGCACAGCAGCGCCAGCCACGCCGCCCCCTCCCCTTCTCTCCGCTGCCGCACCCCAGACGCCCCTCCCTTCTCTCTCACAGACAAGCACGCTCCGCGCCGCCCCTCCCTTCTCCCTTGGTGGCCCTCCACTCCTTCCCTAGATCCGGCGGCGGCCCCTCCCCCTCCCTTTCCTGACGGTGGCGCCCTCCCCCCTTCCTCTCTCGGCGGGCGGACGGATCTGGCGCGCGGCCCTCCTCTCCTGGCGTGGCGGCACCCTCCCCCCTCCCTTTCCCGGCGGCGCTCCTCCACCGCCTCCACCAGATCCGACCCGACGCGGGCGGACGGATCTGGCGCTGGCTCTCCTCTCTTGGCTTGGCGGCACCTCCCCGCCTTTTTCCGGTGGCGCTCCTCCACCGCCTCCACCAGATCCGCCCGGCCTTGGGCGGATCCGGGCGACGGTGGCACATGGGGAGGTCGGATCCGGCCCCGGCGCGAGCGGACGGATCTGGCGCGCGGCCCTCCTCTCCTGTCGCGGCGGCACCCTCCCCCTCCCTTTCCCGGTGGCGGATCTACCAGTGGCGCTCCTCCACCGCCTCCACCAGATCCGGCCCCGGTGTGGTGGCGGCCTGGGCATGGTGGTGGTGCGGCGTGGTGGCGGCGCGGCGAGGAGAAGACGGCGGCTTGTTTTTTTTTTTTTTTTGAAAAATTGTTTGCCTTTTTTTATTTTTTTTTTTAAAAAAAGTTTGCCGAGTGTTTTTTTCCCACTCGGCAACGTCTTTGCCGAGTGTCCGACAAAAGCACTCGGCAAACTAGCGTTTGCCGTTAAAGGGGCAAACCCTTTGCCGAGTGCTTTTGGGTCTTCGCCGAGTGCCCCCGGCACTCGGCAAAGCTCCTTGATCCGGTAGTGACTGTGATGTCATAATGATCCCTGGAGTTGATTTTCAAGATGTCCATAACAACCATTCTCAACTATACTTATTCAAATTATGCAATCATCTTATCTTATATATATACGATCATATATCAGCAGCCAGCAGACCTACAGTCCAGTCACTATAACTTGGTTTATCCACTTATGTACGGGGTCTTGATAAGATACAGTGGAGTGCTCCTGGACACAATTTGTCTGCCCGTACCTTCCATGCTCACATCTTCAGGTGCCATACCCTCAGGCAATCTCCAATCGAAAGAATGCAGCAAGCTTGCAAGTGAAAACTCCACATTCATAAGACCCATAGGAATCGCAGGGCCACTGTCGGAGCCACATTAGGGCCATCCTGGGCACCGGCCCCCCTTGCTCGGGATAGATTTACAAAAAGAGCCTGTGTCTTGAGTAGCATGTATGCACACTTAAAAGTTGCAACTACGCACACACATCTGCATCACTGCATGGCCTAACTACATGCATTCATCTACGCCACGACTAAACTTGCA